TGCTCTGTCCTTCTTAGTAGCATAGCCTAGTAGGTAAATTAGCTGTGTGGGGGATTTGGGGTGGGATGGTCATGATCACGACTTTACCACCCCAAATCTCACAACATGATGATAAGATGAGACAACATCATTCAAACATGATGATAGGGTGAAGCAGCTTGCGACAGCTCATCCTTCCCATCTGAATGATAGGATGAGCAGACATTCCACGAGATTCCTTGTGGCTGTGAGCTTCGACGTAAACTGCATGCATTGCCGAACGAAGGCTCAATCAATCACTTTTGCAATTGACCAACAAGTTGCACACTTGCTTTTGCTCACTCCTCGCCTCGCCTCGCCTCACCTCGTTGCATTCTCACCCGCATTACAATATGAAGCTTTACCACTTCATCTCACTGGTAGCGATGATCACTCAAGCCTCAGCTGCTTGAAGATCTTCTTCTCACAGTCGCTTGAAAGGATGGTTTGCCTGCTCAGACGACACCTTCACAGCAAGCGGAGACTCCGCTGTCGAAAAAGCTGAATGCGCTTTCTACAAAGCGCCGCCTTGTTATCCTGAAATTTGTGAGGCACCAGAGCATGTGCATTCGACAGTCAATGTTTTCGTGAAGCGGATACTAGCTGTAAGGAACCCAGAAACTGCATCTGATTTTTGGCTATTGCAAGAAAACTCGGATGTCTCTGCTAGTTGTAAGGCGCACGTTGATTTAGTTGATGTAGTCCCTGTATGCTACTAACTTCTTTGGAATATCTTTTGATAGCGATACACGCAGGATTGAATGGATTGGTGAATGTTTATACGATGGACCAACGTGGATCTGGTCATAGTACTCGCCTGGATTGCGTCACAATGCCGATTAATATCACCGGGTCTCCGCAGGGCAATTCTTTTGAAATATCGCAAGTCCCAGCATGTGCTCACGAATTGGAAAAGAAATACGGAGACCTTGCTTCATTTTCAATCACAAGCGCTGCGACAGATGTGGCAACTTTCATTTCTGGCTTTACGAATGGTTTGAACACGATCGTGTGTGGTTTGAACTTTGGTACTTTGATTGTGGAACGTTTAATTCATCTGAGTCCCCCAGAAGTGACGGGGTATGTTCTGGATGGTTTTGCCGGGATGTCGGGTGCATCGCGAGACAAAGCCCCATCCTATTCAGCTTATGACTCCAATTTTGGAGAGGTGGGTGATGCCTTCCTGGAATTATGTGGGAAAATAAGCGAGTGCAGCGAGCGATTTGTGTCGAAAAGTCTGCCAGCCACGCTTCAAGATGTGATCACACATTTCGACGAAAATCCAAAATCGACGTGTGCTGCTCTTGTGAGCGATTCGAATCGCGACTGGAGTAGTGAACCAGCTTCATACATTTTGCGTCGGGCTCTGTCAGTCATTCTTCCGGACGCTAGCATGCGCACAATAATCCCTCCTATTGTCTACAGACTGAATCGTTGTGAGCCCAAAGATATCGACTTGCTGAAACCTTTTTTCAAAATACCAAGACAACCTCAACTCAATTCAAGCGACGACAGCGCGTTTGTATCACCTCTGCTTAAATATCTCGTCAACTATTCGGAAATGTGGGAAAAACCGACGCCATCGATCGCAAAAATGACTTCGCGTGTCACGGATGCGTCAATATCGCCTGCACAAGTGTATTCAGACGTCCCGATCTACTGTGCCTTTCTCGAAAGAAGAATCGGCTGTATGCAACAAACTTGATTTAGGAAACTACCGCGGCAACGGCATTATTTACGAAGTCGACAAATACTGGAACAAGAGTGCTACGATTCCTCCTCAGGCTAGTGTTCTTTTGCTGAGCGGTAAATTGAACCCAGTGACGCCGCACAAATATGCTGAAAGTTTGATGGAAGCACTTATCGTTGAGAAAAAGGAATTAATTACTTTTGAGTACACCGCTCATGACGCCCTTGTGTCCGTTTCATTCGATCAAGGCAAGGACAATTGCGGCATGGAGATACTGCTATCATACGTGACCAATGACGGCGATTTGGAGCTTCTTGACAAGTCTTGCGTCGAAGAGATGCCCGCACTCAATATGACTCCAAATTTTATCACGCAGCTATTACTTCTGAACACGAACGATCCATATGACGGAATGCACGATCAAGGTCTAATAGATGATGTAATCTCAAGCTTCAGTCCTGTCGAAAACGAAAGCTAACTGCTTCGTTCATGACTCCGAGTGTCAAGTTGACAAGACGACGACTGCAATGCGGAAGCAACGAAGAAAACAACTATTTTCCTTAGAAAGTCCTTATGTTGTGAGATTAATTTAATCTTGTTAAATACGCAACAGGACACTAGCATATCCACTCAATTGAGTTGCTGCTGTATTTACTTCTTTCAGATAGCTGACGCATGTATGTAGTATTGTTGCATTCGATTCCATAAGGTATAAAACCCCAACTTTTACACCAACCGGTCCGCGTAGAAATCCACTTGGACACATCTTGCAATTTTCCTCTACGGCGAAATAGTGTACAGTAGTCGAGCGAAATTAGTGTAGGCCTTCAGTGCGACATCAAGAGTGGCGAGAAGTGCGTTTGAGGTCAATATCGCCGACGCTAGATCATGTTCGCGTTGAAGGAGGCAAGCATGGACTTCTAACAACTAGAACGAGCCGCTACTACAGAATTTCAAGCTCTTCCTGGCAAAACGGAGGGCAACCCATGGACAAAGTCGAAGGATTGTCGTGTATGCTTCATGGAGAAAGAGGAGACCTGGCGAGTCTCCACATGAAACTGAAATTTGTGTATTTTCTGACGGTTGAGACCAGCGCAATACGTCTAAGTGAAATCGCCGGCATCACGATCCACATGCTGGTGGTATTGCGTCTAGCATTGAAATTACAGTTGGAGAATGTGAAAACTATAATTTACGGGGACAAGCCTAGAGGTGTTACCATAAGCGATGGAAGCAGATCTAGCGCAACTATGCACAAAGCTGGCAGCTGATCTGCACAAAGTGAATATAAGAATTCTTGGTAGTGTAGGATTAAAAAACTACTCGTCTTTAATTCCTACGCTACCAAGCTTTTACGTTATCTGGCATCAAGAAGTCGCAACTGGTGTTTAATTTGGTGGTCGCTTGTAGGTTGATGGCATGTGTAACGGGCTAAGATATGCACTTAGTACTACTGTAATAGTTATGAAACCGATACTGCCAATAGTATAAGGTATACCTTATAATATCACTAATCTATAATACCCCTTTATAAAAGGATCAGTATTAAGAGTACATAGCATGTAATATAGAAACTTCAACCGTGATGTACGTTCGGTATAATGGTGGAACCCCGTTACAGTATATGCATTGGACAGTTCTAACCTCGTATCCGACTATTCTAGCACTACTTAGCAGACTTCACGGCGTCCATCTAGTACGCGATTAGATACGAATTCTCTTTGACTAACAATATGTATAATCTGTCTTCGTCGGTCGATTTTAGCACGTACATATTCAGTGGAAGTAACGTTTTACATTAAAACTTAAGCAATTGATCACGTCCTGAATACCTTGGCCGTAATAACTTAAGCTGTAAGAGGCATGGGGAAAGCGCTAAGTTGCTCTTAAGGATGCCGTTAGCGTAAGGTTGGCACAAGACGTTCGAAAAACACGCGTGTGCCTAGGGATGTGGCCAGCTTATCCTTTATTCTTGTCGATTATTGCTTTCAGAACGTATCACATCGTGACTATATCTCACGGTGCCTTCAGCCGCCGACCACGTTGGTAGGTTTGTCAACTTCAAGCTGCTTTGGTTGTAGAAACAGCATATGTGCAGTCAGGCACAGTGTAACGGGGTTACACGACGGTTGTAACATCATACCGAACGTACATCACGGTTAGAGTTTCTATCTTGCATGCTATGTATTTTTGATACTGATCCTTTTATAAAGGGTATTATAGATGAGTGATATTATATGGTATACCTTATACTATCGGCAGTATCGGTTTCGTAACTATTACAGTAGTACTAAGTACAACATACACTGATGATTGGATGATTCTACATCCAAATACAAGCAATGGCATACTATAATTATTATAATAGTAATTGATCTAGTGTAGAGTACTTAGAGTAAGATTACTCATAAAGTCTTAATGCATAAATAAAAACAGCTCTCATTTTGAGTTAAAGATCGCAAGTCTCTCTGACTTGTTCTCTTGTGCACTTCGTGCGCTGGATTCTGAACCTTTAAGCTTCTAGCTTCTTCTTGCACTCATTTCCTTGGTTCTTTAAATCTTAAGCCATTGCTTGTAGATTAGAAGTGTCGCTGCACAGCTCTTTAGCCAGAAGCTTTCGGCTGGAAGCCTCTTAGTTCGAGAGACTAAATAGAGTTAAAGCTAAAAGCCACTAGTTCTAAGGAACTAGTTATTCGACGTTAAAGTCACCCTCTTCTAAGGAAGTAGGAGGACTCTTAGTCAGCAAGCAATAAGCTAAGGTTCAGAGAACCAACGCACAGAGTGCAAGAGCAAGCTAGAAGCTTAGGTTCAGAAACCGACGCACGAAGTGCACAAGAGAGCAAGTCAGAACGACTTTTTATCTTAAACTCAAAATGAGAACTAATTTATTTATGCTTTAAGATATTATGAATAGTCCTACTTTAAGTACACTACACTAGATTAATTACTATAATAGTAATTATTATATGCAGACTTTGCTATTGAACGACGTATCGTCTTAACATCTGTGTATGATGTACTTCATGGAGCGTTATCGATTTATCGAATCCTAATCGGTAAGATACGGTATTACGAATTACGTATCTTAAGCTCATACTTAATACCTCTCTAACGAGAAGTATAATAATGCATTATATGCAATACAAAGGAGAGTTTAAGCGTAAACTCTCGGAAAGACATTACAACGTCGTATAACCCCGTTACAAGAAGTTCCTCCTAGTTCCTTAAAACGGGTAGACTTCGTAGTCGTTTAGCTAGTTCCTTAGAACTAAGTGGCTTTAAGCCAATCAACTCTTAGTTCTATGGAACAAAGAAGCTCTCATCCTATAAAGTCTTCCTCTGACTATAGAGATGTGTAGCTCCGCTACACTTGATAGCACTTGTTGGTAAATGCTACACCTGAGTCTTAAGACTGACCCTCAGTGATGATGGAGAGTCAAAACCAGCTCTTTGAGGCGCAACGACTCGCACAAGAAAAATTATCTGCGTTCGTTGTCCCCGATCAAATTGAGGTTTTTTTGTTCCAAGGCCGGAGGTCCTCAATGGTAGATTTGAGGCCTTCATGCGTTATAAGGCATCGCTACTCGGGCAGGTCCACGACCAGGCAGCGTCAGCTGCGCAAATGCAATAATCCCGAAATTCGTGCCCGATGTAGAGACAAAGGCTCGTCCACTCGTTTTAAAGAATAAAACCCTTTGAGAGGAAGGAGGGAGAGAACCTTCTCCTCTGGATCCGAGGAGTTGAAATGGCAATGGATGCCGTCACGCTCGTGTCAGATAAGCAAAGAGTTGGCCTAGCAATTTCTAAGCTCGGTGGAAGAGCTAGAGAATGAGCTCTAACGAGCGATGTCTCTGTAAATGCTGCATTTCCCACGTGTAATATGCTTAAAAGCAATTAACTTGCGTGTTTTCACCGCCTAATCAGGCTTATCTTGTGCGCTCACGCTTCTTAGCTACCTGACAGGGTAAGAAAGAATTGTCGGACTATGTCCAAGAGTTGAGAACTCTCATTGCTGCTATGCAGCAAGATCCTCTGGCAGAGGAAGTCCGAGTAACCTGTTTTATGGAAGGACTTCGTACTGGGGTCGCCAGGACGAGAGTTTTCGTGTCCATCCTTCGGCGTTCGAAGAGGCAGTGAGCATAGCGTTTAACGCTGAGATCCATTTCAAAACTGCTCGCTATGGTCTACCATGGTACAATTCAAATGCCTATATCAGGGCCGAACCCATGGGCCTCAGCCATGCTTAAAAAGCTGAGCTTCAAGCTGCAGAGCATTAAGGTAACATCCGTAGATGTTACATGTGCGGAAGCACTAGGCATCTCCGCCCTAGCTGTCCGTTGCGAAAGCAACGTCAGAATCGGCAGAGCCGTAACCTTTCTCCTAACCAAAAGGCGAGCACGTCGGGGGAAATGTCAGCTCTCAGTAGGCGTGGGGCGCCCTACTGTGAAAGGAATAAGTTCTGTTGAATCTTTAGGAGGTAAAGGTAAACAGGTCTTATCCCTAGGTGTTTCTGTGGAAGCTTTCATGGAGAATGGATACAAGCCAGGCTTGTTGGTTTTGTCGGCAATCGGTCAGGGCTTAATAAGCCGTGATCTTTTATAATCGACTCAGGAGCGTCGGTTCATTATGCCCGACGTCGTTCCCTTAGAGGTAGTCAGCTGTATGACGAGGCGCTAGATGCACATGAGGGTGTCAGTATTATCGTTCGTCTCGCAACAGGTGTACGTGTCACCTTTCCTAAAGTTCCGCTGTACTTAATTGTGAAGGTTTTAGACTTCAATAGCGTTAGTCGCTGTTTTGTACTAGATTTGGACTCGAGATATGATCTCATTCTCGGTATGACCTGGCTGGAACGCCACGATCCATAGATCGATGGGAGATCCAAAACCATAGGCGCCACATTCGATGTTCCTAGCGAAGCTTTGGAGAGTCATGAACCCACCTTCGCAAGGAAACAGAAGCACTATTGGCGCGAGCCATTAACTGATTCATTTAGTGTGCAGGGCATTAGGGTTTCGTTTTGAAGACTTAGGTTGTCGAGAGCGTTTAATCGAATAAATGGCTTCTCCTCGGGATTGCTAACCGAAAAGTGAGATATATTTATCAAAATTTGCATGTCATGTCGAAATCAATCTCGATCACTAATAGTCACTACTCTGTCAGAAACCATCATTCCTAGTCACAGACCTGTCAGAAACGATTGCTCCTAGTCACCAATATCACAAAAAGATTTCTACGAAGTACTCTAACACACGTTGCTGCGACATCACTTTCAACATTGCTTAGTTGAAAAATCCAACGTCAAGAACAATAGTGTCAAGCATAGCTCAGTGACATCTACGTTCTCCGTTGAGTGGTACTCATAGTAATATTGAGTCACTGGATGTCGCTAATGACATCGGCTCTCTTAAGAAGCAAGTAAAGGTCGATGACATTGTTAGTGATGCCACTTGCGATAGTGACTCACTAAATTTTAGT